GAAATAGTTTATCCTTGGTTAACAGAGTTTGTAATATTTGAAGAAGCTTCTTTTAAACATGGACTTTCACCAAATTAATAGTGAACCAAAGAGACAGATGAGTGAGCAGTTTACAAAAGGTGAACCACATTTGGCCTTGAAACATATAAAACAATTACCATCCTCACTAATATAAAAACTGCAAACTAAACAATGAGGTAACATTTTTTTTTACTTTTCAAATTGGAAAATAATTAAAGAGTCTGATGACACAAGTCCAGCTTTAGTGACAGTGTGGGCAAATGCCCACATTATTGGTGAGAGTCTAAGTTAGTATAGGATTTTCTCCTCCTCTTCTCCCTCACTGGCCCTCAAGAGGGTAAAGATGATTCTAGTCTGGGAGTTGACACCCACAGCAGTCACTACCATCTGGCCAGAACCTTCCATGGCATGGGTCCCTATGTGAGAAAAGAGAAGATGGGATGAGTGTTGTTTTTTTATACCTAGCCATGCTTTGGTGTGAAACACGAAATATACAGGTCTCTTTCCTTCCTTCCTCATGTATAATGATATACTCAGCAGATAGTAGGAAAAGGTCAAGAGCTGGGTCCATTTAAAACAGACCAAGCAAATTAGGGGGTAAGGAGAAAATGTGTCTAACTGCCCCCTCCATTCCAGCAGAGCTCTTCCAAGGTCCCTATAGTACTGGCATCATAGAGAACCTCTTTCAGGTTACCTAATTTTCTTACATTCAAACCACTAATACCCTATTGCCCCAGTTGAACCTGTAAGGAGATGGGTCAGGGCCAGAAGAGAAAGCAGGCTCTGGACCAGGTCTCTGTGGCTTGCCTGTCTGGGGAGGAGGCAGAGTGGAAACTGGAGTGGCCATAGGCCATACCTGAGATTGACGTGGGGTCTTTTTCCAAGGATTTCTTGACATGATATGATTCCCCAGTAGAGAGCTCTCATCAATCTGGAGATCATTCTCCTGGATCAGCATTCCATCTGCAGGCAGCAGATTACCTACTGCATAGAGAGGAAAGGACAACAGGGAAAGAAAGAGGAGGCAGGGTAAGGTCCTGGCCGAAAGTGGGGGCCATCTAACCCCGTCTCAAAGCTGCCTCTACAAGCCTTATCTATAGGGCAATGGCCCAGAGAGTATCTGGAGAGCCTTTGAAAGACAATTGTAGCTCTGAAAATGTGAGACATGACTCCTTTCCAGGTATTATAAGTTCAAACTGTTAACCAATCCCCAAACACCTTCCCATGGCCTGAGTATTATATTCTTTTATATTCTATATCCTAAGACACATAGGATACAAGTCTGACAGTCTTTTGGGAGATTTTCAATTACTTCTTTCATTGAATTTCCTTCCCACAACCTCCAAAATGCTAACCTAGATATAACCTGGGGTCATATCTAGAAGTTTTATTCGGTTCTTTTTATAGTTTCCATTTCTGTCATTATATTTTTGTTTTCCTTTAAATTCTTGACAAAATGTATAATAGCTGCTTTAAAGTCTTTATCTGTTAATTTCATCATCTTTGTCATTTCTGGGTCTGTTTCTGATGACTAATTTTTGTTATTTTTCTGGCTTATATTTTCCTGCTTTTTCACATACATATTTACTTTTTATTAGATACTGAACACTACAGGCATTACATAGTTTAGTGCCTGGATTTTGTTGTCTTTCTTTAAAGATTGTTAAGTTTCATTCAAGCAAATGGTTAACTTACTTGCAGATAAGCTTTCTCAGCTTTGTTTGAGGGGGTCTAGAAGAGCCTTTACTTTTGGGCTAGCTTAGCCTTATCTCTGTAAAAACAAAACAAAACAAAAATACACACACGCGCACACACACACACACACACACACACATATATATATATATATATACACACACACACACACACACATATATATATATATATATACACACACACACACACACACAAATATATATGGAGCCACTGTAAAATGGAGTCTGAGCTGCCATCGCAGAGGAACTGCCATGTACAAAGGCCTCAAATCTTTGGAATGTTAAAACAGGATAAAGCCATGCACATCTTAGGCCTCAAATCTTTGGAATGTTAAAACAGGATAAAATAACCTTTGGACCAGGCCTAAAGCAACACTGTGTCCCAAAGAACTGTTTGTAAGGATAACAAGACAGCAGAATTATGGCTATCAGGCTGAAAATTACAAACATTGTTTAGAATTAGTGTCACTATGTTAGCTTATCTGCATCAATAGAAATGCCTTCCTTCTATTGATGTCATTGTTCCCCTTCCCTTTCTCATAAATACCCCTTCCCTTGCCTTTGCCTCCTAATTGGAACACTGGGATTTTGCCTGAATCAGTGCTTTCCTTTTCTTTTTGGATCTCAAATAAATGCTTGTTGCCTCTCATGTTGGTCTTTTATTTTTAGGTTAATATCTCTAAAGTGCGGTCTTTCTGAGGTTTCTCTACAAAATATCTGGAGTGTTTAATAAGCTTCCTCCATTCCAGTTGGTCAAAACTTGGATGTTTCCTAACTCTGTTCAAGCTTTAGTAGTTGTTCAGCTTATAGCTCCTCAGTAGTTGTTCTTAACCAGCATCATGAAGTCTATCCTTAAACTTACAGATTCAAGGAGACCCTGATGCATATTTCTAGAAGTCTCGATACTGTGCCTTGAAATTTTCAATTGCCCTAATCTCTCTTAATTTCAATTTCTCTCTCCTCAGTTAGCAAGAGTACTGTATTCTGCTTGGCTTCCTTCCACCCTGTGCTTAGGTAAACACCTGCAGAAAGAAATGTGGGGAAATCTGAGATCATCTTATTTGTTTTTCTTTTTTTTCCAGAATCACAGTCTTACTGTGCCTATTGTCCAATGTCTGAAAAATACTTATTTCATAGATTTAATCCAGTTTTTCTATTGTTAATGGTAGGAAATTTAGTCTGATACAAGTTACTTATTCATGGCTGGATCATCCATAACACTTTAGAAATGTAAACTTTTTATCGAATAATAAAATGCATACTGAAAAATTGCTTAAACCTTAAGTACAGTTTGATGAATTTTCATTAATTGAACACACTGGTGTAATCAACATCCAAATCAAGAAGAACATTATCATAGGAAATATAGTCAATAATATTGTAATAACTATCTACGGTGCCAGGTGCGTACTAGACTAATCGGGGAGATCACTTTGTAAATTTTATAAATGTCTAACCACTATGCTGTACACCTGAAACTAATATAAAATAATGCCAAATGTTAACTCTAATTGAAAAATTAAAATTAAAAAAGAAAGGAAAAAAAACATTATTAGAACTCCAGAAGTCTTCTAGTGACCCTTCCCAAACATTAATACCACCTAAGGGTAACCAATAGCCTGACTTCTATTACCATATATTATTTTTGTCTGTTTTTGAATGTTATATAAGTGGAATCATGTAGTATACAATTTTTGTGTCTGTTTTCTTTCACTCAATTTGTGATTGTGAGATTCGTTCATATTTTGTGTGTAGTGTAGATTGTTCATTCTATTTTCTGTATTCTATTCTACTATGTCAGTATTCTAAAATTTATTCATCCTGTGAACATTCTTAGAAATGTCTTTTAGTGAACATACGAATACGTTTCTGTTGCACGTGTATTTAGGAGTGGAATTGCTGGGTTAACCTACTCCAGCAACTGCTAAGTTTATATAATTAGTCCAGCCATTTCTTCTGAACTCCAGACTTGCACATCCAAATTTGTCTGATATCTCCATTTACAAGCATCTCGAACTTAACATATCCAGAAGCATTTGCTTCTCCTTCTATGTTCACTAAATCAGTAAATGGTTTCTTAACACATCTAATTACTTAAGGAGCTATCCTCAAGTCTCCTCTTTACTTTTCTCAGCAAACCAATCCATGATGTCCTTTGGATTCCACCTCTGATTTACATATACCTCAAAATTATCCAACTCTTTCTGTCTCTACTGCTGTTACCCTAGTTCAGGCCACCATCATCTCTGGCCTTGACTTTCATAATTGCCTCCAAACTGGCCTTCAGCAATCCCTCCTGCTCTCTTCCAAACCATTCCCCCACAAACAGCCTGAGTGAGCTTTTAAATATGTAAATCAGATTTTACTTAACACTCTTTATTAGCTGCTCTTTGACCTTATGATATATTTTAAAATAGACTAAAATCTATAACAGACTAAAATCTATAATGTAGCCAATGGCTTTTGCCTCACCTCAGCCCAAGCTTGCTCCCTACACCCCAACCACACTGACTTCCTTTCAGTTCCTAGAACACATCAGGTTCTGTCATGCCTTAACAACGCTACACATAACGTTCCCTTGGCCTTTAACATTCTTTAAGGTTCTTTCATATGGCGGGAGCTAAAAGGCAGGTCTTCGAAGAGCTTTTTCCTTATAGCCCAGAATCGCACCCACTAATTTTCCTTCATAGTACTGATCGCAAATTAGGATTACGCAATTATTTATGGTTTAGCGTCTCTTGCTCCTATTATACTTTAGATTCCATCCAATGTTATGTTCATTCCTGTAATCCAAAGCTTAACACCATGCTTGGCACATGGTGCAGTCAGTAAGTGCTTGTTTAATAATGCATAACAGATGCAAAGGCTGGAAGGGGCCACAGGGCCAGCATCTGGCATTTCTCTGCCCAAGTTAGGTGTCTCCTAGTGTGTGGTGGAGAAGGGGGCAAGAACTGTTCTTGCTCACTCAGAAAGGGCTTTCCCACCACCTCCTTAAAAAGTGTTTGCTGTAGGGCCGCGTGAGAGACTGCCTCTGGATACAGGAGGCAGGCGGAAGAGATTAGTCTTATTTCTGAGGAACTGTGTGGTTTATCACTGCACGAATTTGCAATCTCTTGGCGCAGGTGCGTGAAAAACTGCCAATCTCTCCTGGAGGGGGCGGGACTACCTCGGACCCCGGGATGCGAAGGGTCAGTGTGTCCTTCATGCAGAATCTGATTGGCCAGGGCGAGCCGAGGGGACGGGGGCGGGGCTTGATCCCGCCCAGCGCCAGCCACGTTGGACGCAGGGCTGCCCCGCGGAAAGGCCACGCCCTGGCTCCACAATGCACTGCGGGCCGCGTCACTCGGAGCGGCGGGTACCGGCGTGGCAGGTACGGCCCGGCCCCTCCCATTCTTCATTCCTTCCCTCTCGGGGTCGCTCGAACCTTACCGGGTCGCTCGAACCTTACCTGGCCGCTCTCCTCCCTGCCTGCCTCCTGCCACGGCCCTGGGCATCTGCAGACCTACTCTAGGGCAGGAATCAAGCCCTTGTCCTGGGGACGGGAGCAGGGTGTCGTTGGAGGAAAGGAGCTCTGGAGGGGCGGGATTGCAGGGACTTAGTCCCCTTCAACTTTCTGGGTCTGTGGGGCCTCGTGGACGGCTGTTGCCCCTCGGCTGATGTTCCCTGGGTATTGGGCAGCCCGGAATGGGGGCCCGAAAGAGAAGGATATTGGCTCTGGGCAGCCAGGGTAGAGGGCATTCCCTGGTGCCCAGGTGTCAAAAACACCGTGAGCCACCTGCGCTCCTTAAGTGCCCCCAGAGAGCCTGACGTGGCATTTCCTATTTCTTTTAGTCAGGGTGAGATTTGAACCAGTGGCTTACTTTGCGTTTTGTGGGCATTGAATGAGCATTGAACCCAGAAATTTGCCCTCGTTGGCTCTCGGAATCCTCTTAAGGCCCTGTTAATGGCTCTTTGGGAACGATGTGGCATAGACACCTGAGCAATTGGCTCAACAGATGGAAGAGGGCTCTGAAAAAAGCGAGCGAGCCCTAGCCGACTTTAATCTTTCGGCCAGTGAAAGCAGCTTTGGGCATGCTATTCCTTCTTAGCCTCCTGGGTCATCCACCTGAGGGCAGTTGGTGAGCTTGAGATCCAGTCCCTCCTATGCCTTTTCAGCCAATGAAAAGCCCAGGGCTAAAGTCAGCCACCCTGCGGGAGATGTTGGGATTCCAGCTAACAGGTGGCACAACCACAAAACTGAATCACATTCCTGGTTACTGGCATTTGCTCATGTGCTGAGAGTATAAGGAATTAGGCAGAACCTTAAACAGTACCTACAATATCTGGTATATGACAGTTGTACTTCAGTATTTGAATCTGATATCTGTGACCATACCCTAAGTTAATGGGACATCTGGGATTTCCTGTGTTGAGAACCATGATCTCAGTTTAGTGCTTCTTTTAGTGTCTCATTGATTTTTAAAAATCTAAAGATATTTTATATTGGTGTATGAAAGAAGCCCAGGTCTTATCAAAGAGGGGTTCATGTGACCTCTTTAGGAAGTTGAGTAAGAAGCTTGATATGTTGAGAGGCAGTTTCTCATAGGGTGGTTAGAGTTAGGCCTGAATTCACATCTTTCACTTGCTAGTTTAGGGATTGAATAAATTAACCTTTCTGAGCTTGAATTTCCTCAAAGGTAAAATGGAACCGATAAAACTTCCTCACAGGTTATTGGAGTGCTTGCTTGAGATAATGTGTATAAAGTGCCTGGTAAATAGAGGGCAGTCAAATAATAATAATAGCAAATACCACTGCACTTGTAGTCTGCAAGGCAGTGTTTCAGGTTCTTTATGTGTTCCTTTGAGGTAGATACTATTGGTATCTTTAAAATAACCCTATTAGATAGATACTATCAGTAGCCAAAATTCACAGGTGAGAAAATTGAATATAGAAAGACCAAGCTTGCCCAGGTTTACACAGTGCATGGTGTAGCCAGTTTTTGAACCCAGGCAATCTGGTTCCAGAGTCCATCCTGTTTACTAAAATACTATACTGCCTCTTAAAGAAAATGTATGCTAGTCTTTTATTATTATCCCAAAATGATTAGCTAGTTTCTGTATTACTGGATTCTTGCCCTTGTTGGTTTTAGGAGACTGATGTAGCACAGTGATGTAGAGATAACAGGAACTTAGGCTTAAGCACCGCTTCTGCCATATATTAGCAGCGTGACATTGAGAGAGGGAGCCTCCGTTTCCTCTTCAGTAAAATGAAAGTTATTCTTACCTCACTGTTTGTAAACTGTGAGGTACATAAATATTGGAGGCCCTGTCCCTAAATATGGATATAATCTCTCTGCAGTCTGAGGTCTTATACATAGTGTACAGCGTAGGCACCTATAATAGGAGTATTAAAGGCTGCTGGAGAGGTTGCAGGGGAAGGGCAAGCTGCAAAATGAATTCTGGTTGTCCTTGCCCTTTCCCCTTTTCCTCTTAAAGCCCTGTTTCCCAAGTACCTTCCACCTGTAGCTATGTAAAGACCTTCTCTTTTCTCTCCATCTTGCCCCTACCCTGTGCATTACAGTTAGTATAGCTTTCTCTGCAAATAACACTCCTCTCCCCATTTTCACAGATCTCTGTGACCACTTTTAATAAAATAGTATGTATCAAGGTAGTGTTTCCAAAATTTTGGTACCGTCAGATACTCAAGATAATTTGAGTGATAGCACATGAACATTTTAAAATAGTCTTCAGAATTTTCAGACACATTTGCATGAAACCCAAAAAGCTCTCTATTTTAATTTAAATTATGAGAAAAACCTAACACCTCAAAACTGATTTCACAGATACTATTGCTAAAGATAGGGCAAAAATAAGTCAAATGAAAGACCTGTATTAGGTAAATAATAGTACAGGTGGGATGCAGATACGACTGAAGTTTGGGAAATAATGAACTAAAATAAAATATGAATGATTAACGCACTATGAAATGTTTTTATCTTAAAAGAGGCATTTATGAAAGCATCTTGCCAGAAAGCAAATATAAAATATATGTTGCATTTTGTTTATTACTTTTTAAGAGATTGCCTTCCTGGTACCGTGGGTCCACAATCATAACTATACCACAAGGTTCTAAAGAAGAAAGGTCAGCATCTTATATCTGAAAGGTTGTTAACCACTGCTATAGTTTAGCATTTGGGGAGTTTCTTTTTCTCAGCCTTTACATAAGTATTTACTCCAACCTACCTAGATTCCAAATGGGGCTTTTTCTTCTAGCAGTTGATACTAGGGAGAGGATATACAGGCCAGTACTCAAGATTCCCTGAGTTTTCTGCTGCTGTTTAAAGGCATATGTAATATTCTTCCAGTGTTAAAGGTGAGAGAAAATGGACCAGTGACCTAAAAGTGCATTTATGACCCTGATAGAACTACTACTGCTCCTAAATCTTTATATCTATCCCTGTAATTGGCAAGTGTTTTAATCTCTTGCTTTCCCTAGTTCCCACTGGCCCTTCCTTCATTTTCCCGACCATCACCTTGCCTGCACTCTAAGAGGACTCTAAATGTAGCTTGGCCTTGATGTGGACAAATTCCTCTTTCTACTAGCACGGTCCAGATAAGATGAGAGGTTTTGTGTTCAGTTTTTAAGGAACTGCATTAAGAATCCATGGTAAAAGGAACAAAGTATGTGTGGGGGAGGGGATATTTACCGAATTGGTAGAGGAGGGAGTGCTTATCCTAAGGTGATTCTATAAATTAGTCAAGCCTGGCATTGCTCATTGGACAGTCATCTGAGTTTCTTTTGCTAGTTAACTGGTTTTGATGCTAGGTCAGATGACTCTGGGAAGAAGAGACCTTTTCTCAGATAAACCTTATATACTAATAAATCGAAACAGTTCTCTAACAACCTTTTAAGAATTTTGACATGGAATATCACTGTGTTTTTGGTTACAAGCCTAAATGTATGTATTAGGAATATCTGAAATAAGTTTATCTAACCATAGTTTTCCAATCAGTAAGGTGGTAGGCAATGGAGCTTGCATTGTGTGTGCTCTTTTCATCTGAATTTCTTTAATTCTGGGCTGATGCTTCTTGATGGTAAGAACTAATGTCTAGCGTAGTCCCTAGAATACAGTACATACTGTAAAAAAAATATAGCTGAGTAAGTTAGAAGATCTAATTGGCTTTGTTAAGGGAGTCATGAGTTAGGCAGCATTCCATCTAGCAATTAGAAGAATGCTCCAAGAGGCTGTACAGAAAGAGGCTTAACTAAGAAGTTAAGAGTGGGTTATTTTAGGCAAGTACAGGCAGGAGTTCTTACCAGGCAGATTGCCTCACTAGTGTAGATCAGGAAATTCCACCCCTGGGTGAGGTTGAAACTGCAGTTAAGTTCTATATTTAATCTAGGTTTCTTATCTGGACTTTTAGCACAAGTGATGCCATTTTGGCCCTTGGCTTTTCTTTTTATACTCAATAAATGTTTATTAAATGAATGGAATTTACAGGTTGATGTTCTTTTCTCAGTATATGTTTTAGGAAGTATGAATCATATCTTTCTGTCTTTCAAGTCAAAGAAGAAAAGAGTAACTTTGAAGATTACATGAAAGTTGGCACCCAACAATAAAGATAATTTCTAATATTAATGTTGGGATCGTAGAGAGATCAGGCACAAAAGAATGCAGTCTGTTTTTAAATACCGAGTATATAGATGCTTGGAAACTATAGGTCACAGCCCTGCCCTCATGTTATTCCAGGAGTGAGCCTTGTGTTTCAGCGTACTTCTGTAAAGACAAAAGTTTTATATTTAAATAGTAAACGCTAAGTGATATGAAGTAAGACACTTTCCTGCTTTCTTACATTTAGGCTAAATGTTGCAATTGTGGTTTAATAATTAAATAAAAGTTTAACAATTTTTAAAAAGAAGATTATAATATAGATATTATCCCTTGAAGGATCACAGCTTTCTCTTGCCTTTAGAAGACAAAAGAAACTGGTTGAATAGGAAAAAAAATGATTTGAATATGTCATGTTGGAATTTTAGTTCAAAGATTCCTTTAT